ATCCACCAACACTTTAATGCTTTTCACCTTTCAACGTTCCTCGATAAGATCGTCGAATTTGCTCCAGTTTCAGCAGTTACGCCGAACTTGCTAATATCCATGCACGACCGACACAGTCAACGCGAAACGAACAGTTAAATCAACTAATCGAAAAGCAAGATGACGTGTTCACGTATACGTCACTTCTATCCGCGTCTTTTTTGCACTATTTTTTATTTGTTGCAGATATCAGGTCGTCGTCGAAGAATCTCGTGTCAACGAGAAATCAACAGAACATCACGAAAATGCTGTTGCTGATAAGCACTGTGTTTATTCTTCTCAATTTACCGAGGTAAGACGATAAGAAGATGTGTTGTGTTACGTTAGCTAAGATGATGAATTATCGATAAGGAAGAATTCTGACATGTTAAGAGGTTATATTTATATTTATTTAGGAACTGTTTTTGAGGAAGGTATTAGATGGAAATTTCACTGATGCGTTGTATAATACATCTGTTAATCAGATTTTTTCATATTTTTAGTAAAAAATATAATCCACTGAAGGAAAATGTTGTTATCGATGTATGTATAAAACGGTTACAGGTTTCGAGGTACTTTTTCAAATAAATGTTTTTAACTGATAGCCAGAAGCTCAAGATTTATCTGATTTCTTCTCGTAGAGAAGGTTAAAGGATAAAGTGCATTCCCGTCGCTTGCAATGCGTACTGGAATTCAAACAATTTATTCTAGTAAAAATTCTCAATGTTCTGTAATATATCTTTGTCCTGTCATACCTAACGTATGCACGTTGCATATAAATAGTAAAAAGGGAGAAAGATCACCTGGGAGACATGATTTTCAGAAAATTAATCGCGTATATAATTACCTATTTTAACAACATACGTGACACATTTATAACAAAGAATTTCTCAGATTAATAATAAAATTGGTAATCAAAGTCAACAAATTTTCATTGTCTTCTACAAATCTTGACCATTTTTATTAATTTGTATTCTGGAAATATATTTTTAAATAATAGTTTGAAAAGGTCAAAAAAGTTCAAATATCAAACATAACATTCATTATCGTCATTTAGAAACCTAATCTCCTATAAAAGTATGATTAACGAAGATTTTATTTCTTCCTCTTTTATTTTCAATTTCTCTAACTATATTACCAGAGAAATATCTCCGCACATAACACGATCACATACATACATATCTCCATCTACAGAAGAGCACGTCCACTGTAACTCTATATACATACCATGGTAATTTGCAGCACGCTCGTTCGTTGCAGAGTTTCCACGTTTTTTCTGTTACTTATTCTATTAGAGTTTCCATCGCCGTGGGTAGTGCTTGTACGAGTAAAACTTGGACGTATTTCAATACACGCGAAATGTAGCCATTCGATGTAAACTAGAACGTGGATACGCGAGAATGTCGAATTTTTCGAAACTTTGTAACAACGTTTCAGCATAAGTTAATGCTGAATGAATAGGAATAAAATATGACTAGCTTGGTTGAGAACGGCAATGGAAGAATCTACAAATCGTATTAAATGTACACCGTCGACGAAAAGTTTAATTACTTTCGGCACGTGTATACAATACTTGCTACATATTTGCGATCGCAACTACCGTGTGAAGTTGGCGGCGCTCGTGTTTATCGAGTGATGTTAGCAATGGATTTATGTACAGTGGCGGAATTAACTTTTCGTCGACGGTATACAACAGAGGCGCTTAACTTCTTGCTCACGAGCAAATTTCCCCTCCCGAGGTTCCCCCACTATGCCACTGAGATGGTCTCGCTCGAGTCGCGGCGTGGTGGGAGGAGGACGCGAGGAGTCCTCCCACCACACTCCAGCGACTGCCGTTGGTTTATGTTACACATTCTGCGTGTTCGTACCGCATAGTGGGGGAATCTCGGGAGGGGAAATTTGCTCGTAAGCAAGAAGTTAAGCACCTCTGGTATACAATATGCGTTGTGTGCATATGCCTGGTTAATCTCGTGGATTTATGTGTGTATGTGTGTGTGTATTCATGAAAAGCAGAAGGTAATAGCTTTTTCCGCAGCATCGCATGATTTCATAATCTTTTTTTATAATCACAGAAATGTATTTTATTGTAAAAACTTTTTATATTCTATTTTTTATTTTTATTTCGCAAAAATATTTTATTTGACGAAATTTAACGATCAACGACGAACGAATTTTAGTATGAACCTTTTTTAGATAAAAAGTTTACTTTTTTATTCCTTAGGTGAAAATAAATGTACAAGAGTACACTTGACTTTTAAGCCAGCTTAAACCTTTGGACAACGGATGACGTGATAGTCGCACGTATAGCGGATGCCGAATCAAATATGACCCAATACTACAATATTTTTCGTGTGCAAGCGAAACCATATTCTTTTTTTTCTTTACATAAGCATTATGTTCTTTAAAATTATACAAATGTACTATGATTAAAATAACAAACATATTTATAGTATAAAGAGGAGAGAGTCGTAACTCTGTTTCGAATGTCGATTGAAAGAAGACATCTAAAAGCCGGGTCAGCAATGATCTGGCATCCGCCGTCCAAAAGTTAAACATTTCTTATATCATTAAAAACAAAGAAGATATTTTTAGATATTCGACTTATGCTTGGACACCCTGTATACTATGAACTTATCCAAATTGATCCCTCACTCTACGTCCATCATAAGTTCGTTCCCTCGCTTCCACTCTAATAAACTGATTCAGTTCTCTAGCAGTAAGAAGCAAACCCTTGTTTTTCAGTTACGTTATCCGGCTGTTCGTCTTTTTCTTCACGTTGGCCCGCAAAGACACGCCTGACCTGCTCTGGTGCCTGCAACAGTTCTTCATGCTCCTATACTACACTAATTTCAGCATCAATTTTCTGCTGTACGCGATGTGTGGCATCACGTTCCGTCGCTGCCTACAACAGCTGCTCCGCAAGGTGATGAAAAGCATGACCAGGTATCATTGTAATCCTCAACGATACATATAGGTGTTGCTGCGACGATTTCATGGAAATCGTGACAGAACCACAGCCACAGAGCCCACATATCTGTGATCAGATTCGACGATCCCAAGCAGGGACGCGCGATACGTCGATGGTCATCACGTGACCGTCATGGCCGACTGGTCATGTGGCGTGCCGCCGTCACGATCGCGGCGACACTTCGTCCGCAAAGGGATCACGTTCGGGTCATTTGTAACCTCTACGGTGAGTGACGAACAAAAGTCACCAGAGAACGTGACTTGTACGACCGATTTAACCAGACTGTCCACAATTCGCTTCGACGAGCCGGACAGAGTGCGTGTTTGGAAATAAATCCGCGATTTTGACACGATGAAATGGCTGTTCCCGATTGTGTGTTTTGTGCTGCTAGAATGAAAAATGATGGAAAAGAATCGGGGGAAAGTGGTTAGGATTTGTAGGCGTATATTTGTGGATGTTGAGTAATGATTAAAAGTATGTTGATTACGAGAGAGATTATTTAAATTCTGAGTTGCTTGTTTTAAGTTGTTGAATAATGTGGATGATGATGATGAAAGCTCGATGGTTGAAATAACGGTGAGTAATTATTTGTTGTGAAGATTTAAATGTTGGTTACATTGTTGATTGCTTGTGAAAGAATTATGAGAGGAATTGTTTAAATCAATGTAGTCCACTTGTATATTTTTTATACATATTGAACAACACAATATTGACCATTATTATATTACATTTACCATATTATTTATTGCAGTATTTATTACATTACCATTGCAACGGAAATAAAACAAACGACTTTATATGAATGTTAACCTATCATTTGGACCATGCTGATTTATACAATGAATTATTTATTTTACGCTGTTAAACAGCATGTACTACATTTACAAATTTAAAAATAAAGATAGTGAAGGTTTAATCTGGGTAACTACCTGTAGAGTAAACATCGAATATGACGAATGTGTGGACGGAATGTCAACACTTCGAGACAGATTACATAATATTATCAAATAACCGATAAAATAGTGTTATAACAAAATAGCGTTAATACCGTAGCAAAAAAAGTGTACAAGTTCTTATTGAGGAACATCGATGTCTACTATTTTGTTGAAATTCTGCATGCATATAAAATTGAAACTGGGAAACCCGCAGACGCTTTATCTCATACTATCTGACGCCCTTATTATAATAAATAAGAGTTGTAATATAATACAGTCTATTGGTGACCTCGACGAAGTATCACGCACGAGTCCATCGGTAAACATCGATTTGTTTACATTTTGTTTGATATCTGTGCAGATCGCAACAGTAAATACAGGGTGTTTTAAAATTATAGGACAAAGTAAATTTTTCGTAACTGTTAGATTTTCTTTCTCAAAAAGGGGAGTTCGCGTGTGTGATAAAGGTTTAAGGCGGTTCATAATAAAGAAAATAGATAATACAGAAGATTCCAATGGGATGGGAATCTCCTTTTCTTCCGAATGGTTCGGTGACTCATTTCCGTACATGGTTCGTAGATCACGCATTGATCTACTCCGTCATCTCACGCATTTTAATGCTATCAAAAGAAATTGAAGTCCTTTATTATTTTACTCTGTATCTTTTTTATACACAAAGTACGTTAATTGTGTTTTTTTTTTTTGTTATTTTATTTAGCAACTGATTATTCTGTGATTACTGTTGTTGAGAGTAATTGAGCTATTTAGATTAATTCTATCCACAAGTGTGATCTTTCCCGGAACCTTGTTCTTCACTGGTAGATTCATTTTGATCACTACTAAAATTTCTCGGTTTCAGTCTCAGGATAATATCGCGTTCTGATGATCTTATAATATCTGGACAATTTTCTGTCGATAAAGAAGGCCTTATGAAATGTTGTGCAATATACGGGGTGTCTCAGAATTCAGGGATTAATTAATTTAATATTTATATTGCACAAAATGCATTTTTTTTTAATAATAAAGGAACAGTAAATGAATAGGTACAATGAATATAGAAATAATTTCATAATATTATTTCTGTTTTAGCATTCATGCTAGAGACAAATTACGTACAAACAATATTGAATTTTTTACTGTTTGAAAACGTTTCAGTGGTTAATGTTATGAAAATGAAATGCAGAATGAATTAATTGCAATATCCAAGTAAAATTTTCTGTTTCGGTATTGTACTTGATTTGTTGCCCCTATTTAGGGGAGGGGATATGCAAATAAAGGAACTCGATAATTCTGCACTTGTTACGAATATTAACGCGGAAGAAACATTGATAATAATTGTGGACATTGAAACGACTAATTTGTGGTTTGATTGAAGACAGACGATTCGTAAAAGCGTGTAGAGCAACATTGTTTAATGTTTTTTTTTTTTATTACTTATTGTTACCAATCGTTGATAAGTACTTTTATAACACCCTGTATATAGTTACCATTTGAATGCATGTAAGTGAAATGTCGGTGTTGGTAATTGTTTTTACTTTTTTGTTAATTTGTTTAAAATATAAAAATTCTTTCTAAAAAAAAATTGTTTTTTATTGTTAACTTTGGTAATTTATTTATGAAATTCAATAATCTTTTTTTAAAAACTGTCTACGATTATACATATGTGAAAAGGGTATGCTTGATTAATTGAATTACAGTATACCTTTCTCATTTTTCGATCGAGCAAATAATCTTTTCCTCAATCCGTCGAAAGCTCTATCATTTCTACCGATAATGAAATTCGATACCGTAAAATCCAGTGTTTAAATTACATTCTTCAAGAGAAGTGTGTTTTTGAGAAACCAATTTTTCTTTTGTTAACCACAATTTTCAATGAAAGTAACAGTTACGATTAGTAAAACTAGTCCTATACATGTCCTCTATTTTTTTTCTTCTAAGTTTTTCCATCTTTATTAATTTTTTATTAATTGTCACATGTAAATCACGTTACTTTATAACTAACAGCATAACTTCTCTCTAATAGAAACTAAGCGTGAACCTTCCGCAATTGCACATTATACTCCCAGCTAGTAGATTCATCATTTTCACTGTGCTCACACTATGACGTAATCGTCGTTCCTCTTCCTCCTTCTGCTATTTCCCCTCATTCATCTTCCTCGTTTATATTTAGCCTTCACTCTTCCACCGTGGACTTCCATCTCGTTAGCATGTTTTTCTTTTTTATATACCTTTATACGTGGACCCTGTCAAAAGATGAAACACAGGACTGACTAAACAGCCGGGCAATGTAGTCTTGTTAAAACGTTTCATCTTCCTTTCTCTTTTTCTCTCTCCTCTTTTTTCCTTTTTTTTTTTTAGGTTATAACACAAGTGGTACTGTGGGAAGAAATATTTCCCGGTTATTTTTCTTTTGGACCTTTTTCCTCTTCTGTTTCTATTGCAATTTTTTATGCCAGATTGAGGTTAGGTTATAAAAGGAGGAAAAATCGATCTATCGAACAGTGGTCAGTTCTACATGAGGTCTCAAAAGAATTCGTTCTTTCTACGTCTTGTATTACTAACAGTCGCTATTTTTTTATTCTCACATTAGCCAGGTCACGTTTCTTATCCTCTTTCACAGTGTCACGTGAGCATTTTTACACTTCCACTTTCACCGTTTATAAAAAAGCTTTCACTTTACAATTTCGAATTATTTTTCTGCTGAATTCTTCTTATTTAACTATCTTGTGTATTTTTATTTACATAAAATAACGCGTGAAGCTGCAATGAAGACAAGTGTAAAGTTCACGTGTAAAAATTTCTCTTATGTCGCGAAGTCGAGGCAAAGGTCCAAATTCGATCGTCATTAACAATCGTGATTCTTCCTGATCTCCCTTTCTTGCTACACGATTGCCTTCTTATCGACGTTGCGCAAGCAAATGGCCATCACAAAGGTTCGGTCTGTTTCTCAAATCGGATTCGAGATTAGAGCGTGGTCCGATGGGTGGCATTGTGTACGCGCCGTAACACTTGAACAGGGGGCGTTTCGAAGATCGCCAGTTACGATTGTCATGTGTTCACGAAGTGAGCCTTCGAGGCGGATCTTTCTTGCGATTTCTTATCTGGCGAAGGAAAATCTTCGCTGATGTCGAAAGTGGTCGACGGTAAATTGGCCTAGCGTAAAATTTCTTCGGGTTTTCGACCGTGCCTCGAGATTGAAATTTCAGAAAATTATTCGGAAGTGAAGATTCTTGAAAATCTGATCAAATTTGAGATTATTGCGTTTGCAACCGTTAGTAGTAGTATGGCTTCGTGTATTTCAAGTTAGAAATTTGAGAGGAAAGGTGAAGAGAAAATTCGTAAAGTGCATTACTTGTGTAAATTAATTATCTGAAGATAAACGACAGGTTTTTGTTTCAATCATTTTGTTCGTTACTCATTTATCGTTGTCTTGTGTTACTTGATAATACGAAACTGTTAAAGTTATATGGAAATGAAGTAAGTGTATGTACAATAGATTTTACGAGGAAAAATTTCAGAATATTTTAAAATGTGAGTGAAACATTTTTAACAAATATTTTCAACCGAGAATTAATATATTGAAGTAGAAAGTAAAACACAAATACGTAAAGATAGTTTTCGGAGAAATTAATTTAATAATCTTTCACCGTACATTTATTCACGAAAGAGGTTAAACAAAACCGTTTAACCTCAGTCAACATTCTTGGCACGTCTTGAAGTTGTCGAGGTACTTTAGACATTCTAATCTCTTGAAGTTGCTACTCTGTAATTCTAGCAGCCATGAAATCTCTGTTAATATGGATACTTGTTTGCTCAATTCGCAGCAACGTCAATAATTACCTACGTTGTTAATAATGTCGTAAGTTTGAAGGGTTTAGAAAGTTTTTGGGTTTCACAGTCTTAGAGACAGAATTTGTTAGGAGTATTGAATGTTAAGGTGCAAGTTCAAGTCTTCATGTTGTTTAAACCGCTATTTCGTAGTCGAATTAAGAGTTAGGAAACATTGTTTTAGTAGAAATAAGCTGCTGGATCGATAATCACGCCTCTCGTTCAATTGGGCACTACAATGTA